AATGCATACAGACGACTGACTGGAGTAGATACGCAGCGAAATGTTATGCTTACAACTAAATTCCCGCGCTTCCGGCAGTTTCTGGCCTTCGCGTTAGGACCGAAGGCGAGTGGACCTGGAGCGCGGTTTCCTCCCGACGCGTGCTGTAAACCGTGGAGGTCGTGCGAGAGGCACGACACTAGTACTCTTTCAAGGAAAAAAAAACGTGATCCTCTTCAGGCGAACAAATAGTCAAATTTGAAGAATTCTACAAAATTCTCATTAGGAGCATTCCTATGTCTCTCATAAGTGTCTGTTGTAGTTCGAAAGCCAAACAGTTGGTTTGCTCGAACCGTGTTGATTCACTCTCACTCAAATCGCACTGCACTCTAAGACCTGGACTGTCGAAAAACGCTGATGACGTTTTGTATCGAATTTGTAACCTAATGCTTAAAGGGGTACCTAAGGGCAAAAAGAACAAAAAAATTAAAAGTAATGAGATGGGAAATAATGAAATAATGCTTCCACACTAACGAGTATTACCTTTTGGAATCTGCTGCATCTCAACAATGGCACCTATTTAATAGCGATAATCTACATAGTATAACAACAAAATTGTAACATTAAATTTTATAGAGCCACAGAAAAAAGACCTGGTACTGGTGGACGTTATATGGCACCAACCTACAAAATATAACCCAACAACTGCGGGTGTGCTATCAGCCCCACGGGGGCGGGGTTTGTGCGAAATAAATGTTTGAGGGGGAATTCATAACACCGTTCCCGTGAAACTGGATAGTTCAAAATTAGTAGGGATACAGGCGGCAGGACTAGATTTCGCTCACAAGGAGCGTGGCATCAGTGAAAATGTATAATCCGGAGCAGATCAACCTTCAATGGGTCATTATTTTCAAGACGAACAGACACTTTTGATCATAGGCATAAACATCGGCACATACTGAATACCCTGTCACTCATCCATCAAGTTTCGTGTTCCAAAGAGCATCACTTGTTCCAAAGGAGGAACGGACGGTTTGCCGATTATTACAACTCTATCATAAGAAGAAGGAAGCCCGGCGTTAGCCGGGTCACCTGATCACCCGACTGTCGAAGCAAACCGGCCTGCTTGCCGTTAATGCCTTGCGTTCGTTCCTTGCCTTGACATTTTCCTGTGCAGCACTTTCCCATATGCCAGCCTACTATTTAAATGTTGTGTCTGCTGGTTTCTCTGCTCTGTGTATGTATGGTGTGTTTGACATAACATGGCATGAACAAGACATGAAGTTCATAACTCCGATTTCCGTAGACCTAGAGAGTTCGAATTTAGTGGAATACAGGAGTCGGAATTGGAACACGACATAATGGCAGTTAGCAGGACTAGGTTCCGCCTACAGGGGTGCACCTTGCTCAAAAAATGTCAGATTGGAAACTGTGCAGAAAAAGTGCTAAAATTTGGCCGGAGTACAGGAGGCAAGATAGGGACAATGATGGTATGACAGGGCTTGATCCCGCCCACAATGGGAGTGGCAGACCAGTAATCTGGACCAGTTCCACCTTCAGTGGGTCAATATCAAGATGAACAGCAACAGATCGAGGCTTCTGATCACGGGCATGAGCAAAGACACATTTTGAATAATACTTGCAAGCTCTGTCCGTTCTCTATCAATTTCCTGTTCCGAAAAGTATCATTTGTTCTGAAGAAGGAGCGGGCAGCTCGCCTATTACCACAGCTCTATCACAAGGGCTGAGTAGGGCTTGACGGTATTCTTGAGCACTACTCTTGCATTTTAGTTATTGGTAAAGGAACAGTTACTAAAATGCAATACTAGTAAATGTTCGCACGCAGCTACGCCATACGCAGCTCACGGGTGTCGAATTGGCCACGGTACTCAGTGGTCATCCTATTTACTGAATTGTCTTCTTGGATCTAGTGGTTATGAGACTTTCCTTGTGCACCTTTAGGTTGTTAACTCGTGTTACGACTGTGTCCTTTGTGTTTTATTTTTTAGGCATTTTTCTTGTTGTCATATTTTCTTTTTCTTGCGTAGGTTAAATTCTCCTTCCTATTGCAGACAAGTTATTGGCGCATCCCGTGGTGCATAAGTAAATAAATAATTGAATAAAGGATAAATTGCTGAATGGTCGAATGAAACAGCATGTCTCGTTTCAATTAAATCTCTAAAATCTTAATAAGATATGAGAAAACAAACTCAAAGCAGTGAGCTGCAGTGATGAGGTGAGTCGTGTCGAGAATGGAAGCACCACAATGATGAGCTCCGGTCTGTAATTAAAACCTTCTCGAGAACACCGCAGTAGTGAAGTTTGAGTCATGCTGCGGATCCAAAGCTGTGGCTGCTCAGAGTGTGGTATTTTGTTCTCAACAAAAGGAACAAACACTGTGGGTAAGTCAAAATATAACAAACATACGGCTTTCACTTTAACTTCCGCTGTCCACGGAAATGCTCCAGCGACCGTATCAAATCCTCCAACGACTCGGCCGAAACGTTTGTACAGCGGATCCCTTGCAGATGTGACCACTCGACGGACACCACAAGAGCTCGAATCAACTGCAGCTTATGAAAGTTTTGGTAGAGGTCTCAAGTAGAAATATTGATCCGACTTTTCGTTATTCTGATTTTCTATAATCAACTATTATTTGGATCAATAAAGAGCAAAAGTCAGAGCAAGTCTGAGTCAAAAGTCAACAGGTTTGGTGGATTGTGCCCAACAGTACCTGTAGGATCACAGCTACCATCCACGTACAAGTCTGCTCGAAAGGAGAACAAGGGAGTTTATTTTATTACCACAACAGTAAAAGAGCAACAGGAGCATAATATCTGACCGCCCAGCCTCACAATGCGCTCGCGTCTATCTGTCTGCCTGCTATCTGTCTATCTCTTGGTCTGTCTATCAGTCTACCTATTTATGTGCCCGCCTGTTTGTCTCTCTGTTATTTTGTCTGTCTTTGTGTTTCTGTCTGTCTGTGTCTTTGTTTGTCTGTCATTGAATTCGATATCACTTGAAGAAACAGTTGAAGAGGTCAAGTCAAAATTGAGCATAGGGCAAGAACATTATAGCATATATTAATTCATAGGATACATCACGTACAGTGAGCAAACATGCCTCGAAACATGCAGTCCAATGACAGAAATTCATAATTTCGATTCAGAAAAGCCCAGACATCGGACAAAGGGCAGAAGGTAAAGTGGGTCAGCAATTAAGTAGACAAATGAGGCTCAACCGCGGTGGAGGTAACTTCTACATTATCCCACAACCCCCACAACTTACACGCAGATTTTTAAGGGGTAGCTCAAATTAGAAATTTAAAACTCGTTAGACCCGCTGCAGTTGTAGTATAAGCATTGGTGTTCGGAGCACAACTGGTAATAAATAAATAAATAAATAAATAAATAAGCGCATATAATATTACATTACCAGTCGGACCTCCTTCTTATGGGTTCGCCCGGCTACGCCGGGCGCACTTCTTCCTATGAAAAATTTGCTATGCGTAAATAACGCTTCGGATTCTCCTTTCGCTTCAAAAGCTCTACACCCTCACTATAGGCTCCGAATTGGGAGCGATTTTTTTCTGTAAGCCAACTTCGCTGTTTCCGAAAGAACATCGTTTAGCATCACAAAGGCGATTATTCAGAGGAAAAAGTATTCAGAGATTGAGGCTACTATGTTAGCTACCATCAATGTTCCTCAATGCCATCATCAAGGGCTCTCCTCTTTTTTGAGGCAAAGGAACTTTGCTCGAAAAATATCGAATTAATGAAATTCCTCCTTTTTAACATGTCATCTCGCTTTTTCGCTGAGCGAGAGTATAGACTATCAAATGCCTTCAAAGATGTACCTCCTTTTCTCTACGGATACATCATTGAATGGGAATCCAACATTATTATCGGTCGGATAAATTTTGCTAAGAATGATATCCAAGCGAAGAGAAACCGTGATCTTTTACTTAATCGCAGACTCTGCTGAGTAGCGGTCGTAATCTAATAGCAAGAAGTGGACCAAATTCATCTCCTTATAATCGCACAACTTACCCTTCTTGACGAATGAAACATATCAGAAACTCAAAGCTAGATCGTAAATAACAAAGGCGCTAGGAGGTAATTGGTGTGTGGATCTTCTTTTCTAAGACCTCTTCTACTGTCAGTGTTCCCATGCTGCCCCCTCCTATGGACTTCGCTCTCCAAGTCCACGGGACAGGAGTTATGGATTTCCACTCATTTGTTTTGCGAAATCCTTTTCCGAAAGGGGCGTAGTTCGGCCCCACTACTCACCATAAGTGTTCCCATACTGCCTCCTACCAAGTTTGAAGACCTAGAGTCAAACTGAAAATTTTGGCGCAAACTTCGCCTTCTATAAGCGGGGTCCGGTCCTTCCACCTACGATAAATGTCCCTATAGTGCCGCCTGTACTCCTGCTAAGTTTGGTTGCCCTAGGGCCGAATTGACTATTGCGGCGCAAAACCCCACCCACTGTGCACAGATTCCGGTTCTGCCACTTACCAAAGTGTTCCCATCCTGCCGCCCTTACTCCTACCAAATATGAAGGTTCCAGGTCCACGGGAACAGGATTTATGAATACGCGACCTAAAATTTCTATCGCGCACGCCCCGCCCCCTGTAAGAGGAGTCCGGTTCTGCCACTCACCAAAGGTGTCCCCATCCTGCCCCCTTACTCCTACCAATTTCGAACGCTCTAGGTCCACGGAGACAGGAGTTATGAATTTCCGGTCAAACACACNCGCCCTTACTCCTACCAAATATGAAGGTTCCAGGTCCACGGGAACAGGATTTATGAATACGCGACCTAAAATTTCTATCGCGCACGCCCCGCCCCCTGTAGGCGGAGTCCGGTTCTGCCACTTACCAAAGGTGTCCCCATACTGCTCCCCTTACTCCCACCAAATGTGAACGCTCTAGGTCCACGGGGACATGAGTTATGAATTTGCGGCGCAAAATTTCTATCGCGCACGCCCCGCCCCCTGTAAGAGGAGTCCGGTTCTGCCACTCAATAAAGGTGTCCCCATCCTGCCCCCTTACTCCTACCAATTTCGAACGCTCTAGGTCCACGGAGACAGGAGTTATGAATTTCCGGTCAAACACACACACCGACACACCAACAGACACACTTAGCGAATTATATAAAGTAGGATATAGAGAGCGCTCCAATTTGATGCTGATATTATATGAACGATGAAAGATGCTCACGAGACCCTAATGGCACATTGGGCCTCTGAACCATGAATGTTACTTCCTCTCAGATGTCATCAGTTAATACGAAATGAATTTCAATTTATGAGTAGCGGAAAGAACCTACCTGGCGTAGGGGAATTGCAGCGAATGCGAAAGAGCCGACGACATAGGACAAGACCTTGAAGTGAACAATGTGTATCACAGTCGACCAACCAGCCATATGTGTTCGCAATAGTAGGTTTGAGAACAACTGCTGGCGTCCTTAACTGTCATTGTATTTGTTTTTCAGGGGCTGGGCAATTACTAGATTACAGTGAAACATAGGGACGAGAACTTTTGGGTTGGAATAACGACACAGAAATTGTTTTTGTTCGTATGCGATCGAAGATGGCCGTTGTGCTAATGAAAATTGGGGCAACTTATTATGACGACTTTCAGCTGCTGTTGGTGAGAGTACGGGAACACAATGTAACCTCGTATGGAAAGAGGACTCCAGAGCAAAATCCTTCTACCCTCTCACCACCTGTATTACCTGCCGTCCCGCTGATCATCGATTCCCTCGAGCGGACGCCGGTAACGTTTCCATTTGTCCCTGCCGCGAGCCAAAGTAGTCCTGTGAATCGAGTTCGCGCGAGGGACACGCGGCAAAGCATCCTTTTCGTTCATAGTTTTCGTGAAGAAGTCTGCTCATTGCGTTGGCGGCCGTCCTGGTGTTTGCTTGACATCCCTAGAGATCTAGACAGAAATCGCTCTGGTCCAACGGTCGTCACTATATCGTATGACATGCTACGTCATGCGATAGAGCGATGATCAACTACTACTCTATCATTTATACATATTATAATAACAAATGACTTTCTGGTGAGTCGGTATTTGTGTCCAATTGTAATTACTTCGCACCTTCCTTGCCCATCCACCACTCGCCTGTGGGGTGACCTTCCTTAATTGGTTGGCTGCTGACCTTTCTGGCAGTCTCAGTGTACTGATATTGGTTTTATGGATTGAAGTGCTTATTATTGTGTTATTAATAATAGTATAATAATTATTGTTAATATTACTATTACACTTTTTAAAACAGTTTTCGCCTATGTACAAGAGAACGTGTTGTGCTGGAAACCGGTATATTGATACTCATGCTTCCCGCTTTTGCTTACCTGCCTTTCCTGCCTTACCTGCCAACTTATGTTGGCACTTGAAGTGCTCCGGATTCGTAGTAGCCGTAGCTGCCCCTAGGGCCTTGGAAAACGTGAGGTTTTGGTTCACAGTGCTCACAATGCTTGCGGGTGCTGAATGTAAGTAAAAGGAATTCGGAGCTACAGCACTCGAGGGAACAGAATGAGGAGGNTACTATTACACTTTTTAAAACAGTTTTCGCCTATGTACAAGAGAACGTGTTGTGCTGGAAACCGGCATATTGATACTCATGCTTCCCACTTTTGCTTACCTGCCTTTCCTGCCTTACCTGCCAACTTATGTTGGCACTTGGGTGTGCCCCGGATTTGTAGTAGCCGTAGCTGCCCCTAGGGCCTTGGAAAACGTAAGGTTTTGGTTCACAGTGCTCACAATGCTTGCGGGTGCTGAATGTAAGTAAAAGGAATTCGGAGCTACAGCACTCGAGGGAACAGAATGAGGAGGTGCAAGGGGGGCAAGGGGTGCAGATACATGAAATAGAGGTGATACAGTGTATTGTGGTGGGCTAGCTAAATATAGGGATCCGTAGAAATAAGAAGAAGCAATAGGAGCAGCTAGTCATGAGTTGAAGCCGGAGAAGGCGCTGCGGTCGAATTCGGAGTAGTACAAGTCAGACAATCATGCGATGACAAACACAGTGCAGAGGTGATTTATGATGCTTTCGTCCACATGTTTAAATGACTTCGAGTGACCTACTAGCGGTGTCCAAGAAAAGTAATGAAAAGTAATACAAGGTGCTAAAACAAGTGGAAGGTCACTCTAATAACTAGTTTGCCTACAGGCGTCTTGTGAGAATGAATGCTGAATGGTTACACAATGCCATAATTTTTCCTCCTTTCTTATGATATTTCCAATGATTATTTCAGCCTCCACACCTTCTGTTGTTTTATTATTTATGCGTTCCATTTTTTTTTTGTTTTGCTTTATTTTATTTCTCATGTTTTGGATGTAACGAAGTTTCTCACTCACACAGTCGATATTGTTAGACGTGAGGCTAGTTGACTGACAGAGAGGTCACCAGCCAACCAATTAAGGGAGGTCACCCCGAGGCGAGTCAGTGGAAACGGGCTCACCCAACTTTCTGCAGCCTTCACGAAATTGTAGATCCTTTTGCATAAGATTATCTCCTCGAATGCTACGGATTTTATGCGATAATTACGCGAAGATACTTCCATCTCCACAATTTGCGCTTATTATTAGTAAGTCGTTCTACTCATTGCTACAGAGTCCCGTATAAAGGTTACTTCACCCAGCGTATCAACAAAAAATACCATCCAACATCAATACTAACCATAGGAACGTAAAGAGACGGCACCAAAAATAGTTTCCATCAAGGACTTATGGCTTTGGAAGTCTAGCGTAGACCATACGAGCGTCACAAATGACCATTGCTGACTAACAGGGAAAAGATGCTTGGTCGCAGTGGCCATTTGAAATGAGATGTATGCCACCGAAGAGTTTGAGGCCGAACTTGAATCTGTGTTCCAAATCTGCTGCGCGATTTTGGGAACAGCGACAACGATTCCTCTCTATGTTATAAAACTAAACCACACACTTAAGCGAACCGAGTGAAACCCTAGCTGTGCAACGATGAGGCAGCTGGTAGACTGGTGGATCGATAGACGTTAAATAAAGTCTCAGTTTCCTTGGTGCTTTTTAAAATTTCTTATGCACTTTCCATTTAAATTTACCACGACGTGAGTACTAAGCACCTGCAAGACATGGGCTCAATATTGGCCATCTACGGAGCCCGCACACATTTCAAGGATCTGGGGAATAGTGATCCGACAAGATTTTTTTACCATCATTGACCAATAGATACGCCTCTTTTCCCTGACTACTCAAGATGGCGGTTCGAAATTTTTGGCAGCTCCCTGCATTCAAGGTAAAGGCGGTCGAATGACTCATCTGACCAGAGCTCCTCTGGAGAGATTACGGTCTTCTCGTTCTAGGAATACGGTCCGCACATTTGAAGCACTGATGCAAAGTAAGTGATCAAGTGACTTTTGAAAAAATGATAATCTACCCATTGTCAAGAAGTCCATTCTGAAGATAAGCGTCTGTGATGCGGCGTGGCAATGATACACTGTCTAGAAGCACCCTAAGCCCACCTACGACTTGCTCCGAATTCGGTATCTATTAAGACTTCATTATTGATTTCAAGCGTCATCCAGTGGAAATGGTTGTCGTGCAATGAGATTCCTATATTCATTTCATGTTAACTTTTCCACCTTATCCGTTAATCGTCAGCCGACAGATCGGTTTGACCGCTTTTTTTGCACCCGATAGTTACAACCACAGAACCCATGATAATTTGTCGAAAGTAAACTATTTCGAAAGCTCATGGTCTCTCTCACTTGCCCTAAACTTCCGTATGTGGCACTCGGGTTGCGATGGAACAAAACTTGTTCTTCATGCACGAAAAACTTCTTCTGAAATTCAAACTATAGGAAGCTATGAACTCTCCTACCAGCGCAGAGCTGGAGGCTATGTCTATCTTTGGAACCTCAATCCCCACAAACGGAATCCCCACAAACGTACAAGGTCCCTCCGCGATATTATGGGTACATCGTCGGTGTTATCTTCAGACGACCACGGAATATCCTCCATATTACTTTTCACGAATTCTCTTACTCGCAGTGGATAACGAGCTTGTTTACGTAGCATCGAAACGTGAGTGTGAAAAGCTCGTCATTACCTTTCGTATCTTGTTTGATGGTGCTCATAGTATGCTTCATGGACAAAAGTCCTCCAAGAAATATAATGACACCACTTTCGGGCAAATATTTGCCTGTGGAAGAGTTTGTTCCGATGTTGATCATCTAGCACCTTTCTCCTTAGAGCCTTTGATTCGAAGCTCATTTTTAGCAAATATTCAGAATTCTCCTTCTGCTCGAATAGAGCTACACCCTTATTCTGCCCGCTATCAGCGTAAGACCTCTCTTTGTAGTACCTTTTCAGTATTTCTATAATAAATACATTGTGAGGGAGCCTCGTAGATGGCCAAATTATGCCTAAAAATGTTTTGCAAGTGTTTTGGAAAAGCAGAACATGCATCAACTATTCAAATCTTGATGTCGTGCCTAGCAGTCCACCGCTCTTTCAGCTGCGCCATCGCTGCACAGCTAGACCTTTTTTTCGGTTCGGTCGTGTATACGGTTTGGTGATACTATATAACACAAGGAGGAATTGGTTCCGTAACTTTGTTCTCAGAATCGTCTAGCAGATTTGAACCCCGATTTGAGATCACATTCAAAATCACGTACGGCGGTATACATCTCATTCTGAATGGTCTGCGACCAAGTATCCATCCTTTGTAATGGTTTGACAAGGGTCTGACATAATTTAAGAGCGCCAAGCATCGGCTTAATATGAAAGAAATGATGAAGCGGCGAGATCTGCTCAGGAGGAAAAGTACCAAGCAACTAGTCAAGTTTCCGCATTTGACATGTTCATTATACCTCCGTCCTCCCCGTTACCGGAGCCTTCACACCTTTTTCAAAGCCAACGTAAACTATTTATGATCTTGTGCCACACGAGGTTTTTGGGTGGAACAGTTTATTTTGTCAAACGGCCTAACGTTTCGACGCAATCGTCGTCTTCAGTAGCCTAAACGTAATTCGAGGTGATTTACACGTCATCCAATAAGCGTCTTGATCCCTATGCAACCTGAAAATTTCTTTAGATTTATAAGATAAGATAAATCTTCAGTTTGCAATA